GAGGCTCTTCTCGTCCATCTCTTCCGACCAGGATCTCGAGTTGCGGGAGGGAAAGGAGTCCCCCTCGTCGCGCTCCGCGGAAGACGAGTACAAGGACCCGCTTTTGCAGGCCCAGCAGGAGAAACAGAGCCGATTCGTCCCCGTCAAGGCCTACTTCTTATGCACCAGGTGTCTTGATTCGTCTCTCATATGTGCGCTTACAGCTGACTGGGGCTTAGATTTGGTTCTTTTGTTGTGAAATTGTTGTTTCTGGTGGTGATGGATTGAATTGCAGCATTGATTTGAGGAGCCTGCAGGCCCAGAACGCGACCAACGTCATTCCGCCTTCCTCTCGTGCCACCAATTACGTTGTACTCCGATACTATGATGTTAAGAACGGTCCTCAAGTCAGTTGCTGTTTCTTATACTGCTTATTTCTTAACGTTTGTTTACTGATAAAGATTTTAAATTGATAGCCATTTTAGTTCCGGCAGAAGTAAATAGTAGAGTTTAATATAAGTTCTGTCATTTCTTAACAACTTAAGCTGTTGGATTAATGTTTACCCAAGAAAAAAAATGCTAACATGGAACCGGCGCAGGTTGTGAGTTTGGATACTGTATCTGCTTGCCTGTCCAAATATTAGTTTCAAAGTGCAGCATTACACAATGCACTAATCCAACTATTAGTTTCAAAGTACATTATATGATGCATCAATATATGTTCCTCCTGCAATGAGAAGACTAAATGTAGGACCATAAATTTGATCCTTTGATAAAAGGGAAAAGGTTTCGTAGTCAACTAATTGATACAGACTGACAATGTAAATAAAAGTTTCTCTTTTGGTTAAGAAAATAAGATTTTCCTTTATTTAACAATCATAGTCACCTTGAATGTGGTATGTTTTGGATCATGGTATGTATGTGACAAAAGGATACATCACTTATAGTACCATGGGGTAGATCAGTTAGTTCATTATTGTGATTTATATTAAATCATTTACTTAAATTATTAGCAATACTAGATAAGATATTTGGTCTTACTAATTTGTTAAGTAAGCATCTAATTGGATTACTAACAATGGTAGTAGTGAACTCGGTAACTAGAAAATTGTTGTTTCTAATATTTAGTACTTTACTGAAGGATTCTAGTGTGGGAATGTGCATGCATCTATTTATCTTTAGTTTCTTTATGTGTAGAAACTTGAGCGACCTCACTGAGGTTGGATCCAAAATTTTGCATTCTAAATCACATACCACAAGGATTCAGTATACAGTAGTATCATGAATCAGAATGAGGGACATGGATCACGGTTCTAAGGGCATAAAGGGCTGTTAACTATGCTAAGAATGTTGTGTATTATGACTGGACTTGTTAAGAAATAAATAGTATTTGTTCTGCCACTATTTTTCTTCTTGTATGGTGCCATGGAGTTTGCGTTGAAGTTCATAGAAGCTTCATAGAGTTTATGGACATCCTAATTCTAATTACTTTCAAGTTAAGACCATGGAAACTAAGATAATTGTCTTCATATTGCAGGTAATGGAGACTGGTTTTCCAACTGAAAGCATTTGTCGGTATATGGTAGTGTTTCATTATGGTTCTACCGTGTTGTTTAATGTTTCTGACCATGAAGCTCAGGGGTATCTGAAGATTGTTGAAAAAAATGCTTCCGGACTGCTACCAGAGATGAGAAAGGATGGTAAGTACGCCAAAGTTGCCTATATGCTTTTCTCTAGTTCTGTTTTGCTAGTTTGCCAAAGCAACCATCATGTATTGCCATGCACCTGCAAGAATGCAAATGTAAGAAAATAATATAGGAGAAAATTTTATACTCATGCCTTAGTTCTTGCAATAGTAGGAAGTCCAATACATGTATATATCCTTGGTCTGATTTGATGCAGAATTGATGGTGTTTTTTCAGAATGCTTGATATAATTAAGATTTTGTTGAACATATAACTGACTTTAGTATGTGAGAGGAATACAAAGAGTTGAATAATGACTGAGTTTGGTAGAAGTTCCATTCATCCCTTGGATTCCCTTGATTTTTGGACAAGTCTGATATATCCCAAAATGATATGAACTTTGTTGATTTAGAATGAACAATCAATATGTTTCTGGGTCTGAGTATATGAAGAAAGTTTTAGAACAACGTTTGGCCTTTTTATGGGGAAATATTGTCAATAGGAATGGAGGAAGCTTGGGAACTTATATCAAGATGGAGGTCCTATATTCTGGCTTTTTTTTTTAATTGTTATGTCCCAAAAAATTGTGATCTAGATTTTAGATATATTGCCTATATAGGTGGAAGCTTATATGTGATAAATAAAATGAAAACTAAAACACCATGGTTTTCCTTTGTTGCCTAAGCATCACATTGTATTAGATATTTTATTTGGGGCATACTATTATGTTTTAAGAAAGGCAACATCACTATGGAGATTTCAGACTGTTCCAAATAAAGAATTGGCTGTCTTGTGTTGTTTAGAATCATTTAGGTTTTTGTATGGTATAAAAAGTTGTCAACATAAGGAGCTATATATTATTCTTCTTGCAATTCACTATTAATGTATTTTGATAATGATGTGCGTCGCTCTGCATCAAGAATCTACTGATATGGTACTTGACATAGGTCCCTGTATTAGAGAGATTGACAGTTGTATATGTGACTGAAAATCCTTTTCTTTAAACTATGGTTTCAGTCAGATTTCCCTCTTTTATTTGATCTTGCTTTTACCGAAGTTAATGAATATAGGTAAATGTTTTTGAACTTTTAGTGACAGTGGTTTGAATTTTTGAAAATCTAGATTATGCAGTAGTTGTAAAACCAAATCTAGAGACTTGGATGCAGGGTGGAGTCGACTATATAGCGCTTAAGTCTCTGGACATAGACGGTGTACGTACCATTGGAAGTGTTCTTGGTCAAAGCATTGCTCTGGATTACTACATCCGACAAGTATGTTGCAAGATGTCCATTGGACTATTGAATGTGTTAATCTTAAGCACTAACAGAAAACTTACACTGCCATTTTCCTTAGGTTGATGGTATGGTTGCAGAGTTCACAGATATTAACCGTGGTTTGGAGAAAACTGGAACATTTACCATGAAAAGGAGAAAGCTCTTTCAGTTAGTGGGGAAAGCAAATTCTAATCTCGCTGATGTCATTCTTAAACTAGGGCTTTTTGAGAGGTAATTTTGATGTGCAAAAACCAATCTGTTTGATGTCTGGATGGTAACATACTTTTAGCCATTTACAATTTAGACCTATAGCGGGCCTTATGGTCTCGAGTAAGTTTACCTTTGGTAAGTCTTCTTGTTTCCTTTGACTAGACTCTAAATCAGAAGGTTTTGAACTTTAAAGAATAGAGATGGCTGAATTTTATTTCTTTTGATTGTCAACATGGAGGAGATTAATCGAACTATTTCATCAGCAAAATTCTATACAATGCTCATTGCTGAATTTCCACTGAATTTCCAGTATCTGTGATATTCATTGTATAGACATGCATTGACTTCAATTGGTCGAACTTGTATGTGAAGCATATTATCATTAATAAGCCTTTAAAGTTGCAAAATACGTCCAACGGTTCTGCGATGCTATCAGTGCATCAATTATTGTTTTGGGGATTTAATATTTGCTATGAAAATCTTTTACATGACTTTAATTGCTAAAATACATGAATCCCATGTTCTTGCAAGGATTTTGGGGATTTAATATTTGCTATGAAAATCTTTTACATGACTTTAATTGCTAAAATACATGAATTCCATGTTCTTCCATGATGCCCTGCAGGTCAGATATCGCCTGGAAGAATGCTAATTATGCACAGATATGGGAGTACCTACGGGATGAATATGAGCTAACACAGAGATTTGGAAATCTTGATTTTAAGTTGAAGTTTGTTGAGGTAACTTGGTGCCCTTACCATTTCGAAAGTTTTACTTTCAATTACCCCGGTTGTCTGGTTGAATTTTTCTATTACTTCGCTTGTGCAGCATAATATTCGTTTCCTCCAGGATATTCTTCAGAATAGGACATCAATTTTTCTGGAGGGCCTAATCATTCTTTTAATTACTGTGGCGATCCTCATTTCTGTGTATAATGTCTTTTGTCATCCAACACCAAGAATTCTGCAGCCAAAAGCAGGCACTCCGAAAATTGTTGAAGGATCTGCCTACTACAGCAATTAGATCTGTGATATGATTCTTATTTAAGCAGTAGGCTTTTGGATCTTTGTATAGCTTGCTTGGATACCATTACTGACTTGCTATAAAATAGTAGATCAACTTTAAAGCTAATGCTCTCTCGTGGAAATTTTGCCTCTTGAATCTTGACCAAGATATTTGAAGAAGAAACTACATCTGGTTTGCAGTCAGCAATGACGTTGAGATGCAGAATCTGATGCTTTAGATACAACTGATGGAAAGTACCGTCCACAATACCAACCAAGCAAAGTGGATTTCGAATGGTAACACAGTCATCCCTATTTTATGAACCTTAGTTGGTGTTTCATATGTCTTTGTCTTCGTGTTTGTTGGTGGGAGTAGTTGTGTGGGGTCTGCGAAGTCCGTGGTAAGTGGCTGTCTTCCTTTTCTCTCGGTCTAATTATATATTATCTTTTATTTTTATATCTCATTTATTCTAATATTGTTAATTATATTGATGGAAAATGTAACAGTTGGATCGACATAAAAGTAATAGGTAAAAAAATAAATTTAAAATTTATTTTATTCTTGAAATATTAAAATTATTTTTTTATTATATTTTTTGTTAATACATTTGATGATGTTATGATAAATGAGATTATTTATTTTATTTTAAAAATTATAAAGATTTTAATATAAATTTTTAAGAATAATCTATAGTTTTTTTTTTTTTTTTTAACCGTCTATCCTCTTATTCATACCTATCACAAATTGAGGTAAAAAAAGTTAATAATCTTCAGCATTAATAATCAATGACATGAGTCACAAAACGGATCCTCTTTTTAATCTTCATTGGACACGTAAACCATGATTTATGTTTCATGGGAATGGTCGAGCTGCCGGCCGGCTCTCACCTACCCACTTCGGGGACAGGCGGGGGAATGAATCCGTCATTCCTACGCCGATTCGACGTGGAGGGCGAGCGGAGACCCACTGGGAAGAAGCAGCCCCTACGGTCGCCCGAACGCCCTCGCGATGGCATCGAACCATGACGGCGTATTCGTTGCCTCCAATGGCCGTAGCAACGGCGCCGGAGCTCTCGAATTGAGGGCATCGCTAGACGATACCCCTCCCGACGTCGCGGGTGAATATTAGATCTCACCTTCCGCCCTTCCTTTTCCCTTTCATTTTCCGGTCCTTATTGGTCTGTGGCATGGCTTCGTTTAGGGCCCAAATCCGTATCTGATGTCTCCGATTCGGCTAATGGATATCGACTTCGTGTTGCATACCAGGTCTGGAGAACGATTTCTCTGTTCTCTCCATTTGCATTTGACTGGATTGGTTTCTTTTCATCTTGCGATATGGTTGTGATAGTTTGCATTTTGAGTCCATTGAATTCTTGTGCTTTTAGGGGCTCCCGGGTGCATACAGTGAAGCTGCGGCAGCAAAGGCGTATCCTGATTGTGAAGCGGTCCCGTGCGAGCTGTTTGAAACGGCTTTCGATGTGAGATTTGCGGTTATTTCTGTATTCATTTCCAAATGCTTCCGCATCTTTGAATTCGTTGTTGTTATTTGCCCCCCCCCCCCCTCTGTTGCTTTCCGAGATCTGCATTTCCAGCGTTTGTTGGTTAACCTCCTGCATGAAAGCATAACCTGTTCTTGGAGATATTGAGCACAAAAAAGGGGTTTTGGAAGTAAACATTTCCTGGTTTGAATGTAGAGAAAAGAACATTTAGATTTCTTGCCTAAATGCTGGCACTGCCACTTACCAGTGATGCATGACACTGTTGAAAACTCCAAATACTATTGTATCCAGTCGTTGAACACTTCTATTGTTTACTCTTAGTGTGTAAAGCGATCTGTCATGACAGCTTGAATTTATCAAGTGGATACTATTTTCAGATGATGAGCCATTAAAAGCAAGACTCAGACATTTTAGGAGTAGTGCTGATTTTGCACCTAAACAAGTCTTCATTTTCAACAGGCCTGCTAGGATCTCCCTTGCTCTAATTCCAGTTTATGTACCTTAAGATTAGGCACGAACAGACCCATGGTTTGACCCACTATCAGTATTAAGTAGCAATAATCATGACTTACTATAAGTTAATTTCTTGTTCTAAATGTTTATATTTTGGATAAAATTTATATCTTTAATAGTCTAAAAGGTCTGACACATCTTATGAACTGGTAGGATTTGGATAGAAAGCAGATCCGAGAAAGATATGCTAATAAACAACACAGTCAACCCAGTTAGCAATTCTAGCTTTGCTGGAAGGTGATTTCTTTTCATGGTTAAATTAAAAATTCAAGATTGTGAAAGGTTATAGTTCCTTGTTTGGTCAAGCATTGATGGTTAGATAACTAAAGTACAATTACAAATTTGAGGGTTTTTATATGGTTCCTTTAAGCACTTAATCTATCGAAATAAAATCATTATATTTGATGGCATAAAGAAATCAAAATTTCTTGCTAGGAATCAAATTTTACTAGACGATTTGCTCATTCCATGAAATAAACGAAATACATAAATGTACTTTTTATTTATCATGTTCTGAGTTCATAGCATGAAATAAAGCTAAATCATCAAACCAAAATTTAAAGAGAAAATTCAAAGTGAGAATAGTCAGATAAATAAGAATGAGAAGAATCACCTTAGAGTAAGCAATGTAGGCTCAATGATCCAATGGACGATGAACATGAAGATCCATTTTAGGATCAGATGTACTCTTTGTTGCAGGGTCCTGTCAGATGTAAAAGAGCATAACGATACATTCCAAGACATGACAAATACATGTCTGATGCCTACAAGGTAATCCTCATCCTATGATCTTGCAGGCTGTTGAATGCATGCTTGTTGATCGGGCAGTTCTACCTATTGAAAATTCACTAGGTGGTACCATTCATCGCAATTATGATCTTTTACTTCGCCATAATTTGCACATCATTGGGGAAGTAAAATATGCAGTTCGACATTGTTTACTAGCCAATTCTGGTGTGAAGAAGGAAAATCTGAAAAGAGTTCTCAGTCATCCTCAGGTGCAACTATCATTCCATTCACTTGTTTTTTTAACTTGGGAGAACATTTTTTGGTTGTAGGTGATTAATTGTGTTTAGTGCTAACACACCATAACTTCAGGCTCTTGCACAGTGTGAGAACACACTTGCAAAAATAGGAGTTGTTAGAGAAGCTGTAGATGATACAGCAGGAGCTGCAAAAGTAAGATGCTTATGCTTCAGTTAATGTTTCCTTGATTGGTTTGTCAAAGTCAGTTAAAAAAAAAACTGACAATAAAAGACTCAGACTGAAGTTCTTTGTTTTAATGCTTGATTATCCTGAGTACCATGGCTGATCCAAACATATATGAACATGTACTCTACCTAGTTTATTGCTACCCACAAACTCCAAGATGCAGGGGCTGTTGCCAGTTCATTGGCTGCTGAAATATATGGATTGGATATCCTTTCCCTAGATATTCAGGTAATAATATTTGTTACTTATCGATTCATTGCAGTTAACTAATTGTGGTGGTTAACTTGTATTCTATTTATCAAATTGTCAAACTTCTTCTAGGATGACCCTGATAATATTACTAGATTCTTGATGCTGGCACGAGAACCTATTATTCCAGTTACCCATAAGCCATTTAAGGTATCATTAAAATGTGCCACTAAAATCTGTGTTTTGAGCTTATATTTTCAACTCTATACCAGTAATGATAGACAGTTTATCAACTTTAGTTGACAGATATACTATTATTTTTGCCTGTTAGACAAGCATAGTTTTCTCTCTTGAAGAAGGCCCAGGTGTACTTTTCAAGGCACTTGCTGTTTTTGCACTGAGGAATATCAACCTCACAAAGGTTTGACATCTTGTTTCATCAAAGGTATTGAGTTTTATAGCCTGGCATGCTTAATGTGATAACTACTTGTCTCCTCAGATTGAAAGTCGTCCCAAGAGAACTAAACCCTTACGCATAACTGACAATGGCACCAATGGACGTCTAAAGTTATTACTATAACCTTTTCTTTGTTTCACTGAATCTGAATATCTATTGATTCTTAATATTGTTGAGTACTAATTTTTTTTGTACATGTGTTGGTTAGGTACTTCGACTATCTATTCTTTGTAGATTTTGAAGCATCAATGGCTTCTCCTAATGCCCAAAATGCTCTTGGGCACCTGAAGGTATAAACTGTTCTGAGTCATCCCAAAATCATGTTGCTAATCTAAAAGTAATACAAGTTATCTTGTGCATACAGGAGCTGGCCACATTCTTGAGAGTGTTAGGGAGTTACCCTAGGGACATGAGTGAAGCATGACTTTAGGAAAATGATGGGCATTGGTAATGACAATCACTTCCTAGATAAAAGTGGACATTTCACCTATGAGATTTTTGTTTCTCAGTATATTAACTTTGTGCTATCATGATTGAATGTTAATTATCATACTCTTGAGTTCAAATGTTAATAAAAAATAAGTGTCTTGGTATACTATATTGGAACACTAATTAGTAAATTGGTCATAATTTTTCTTTTTTCTGAAGGTGTAAACGTTCATTGTTCATTATTTTTTTATTTGTACGTACATACTTGAGGGTAAGCGACTTTTTTAAGATTTTATTTATCTATTGGTAAATGTGTTCTATAAAAAGATAGAATAGGACTAAATTTGTTCTATAAAAAGATAGAATATAGCCAAAATTTTGGTTTTGTATATTATTATTTTGAGTTGTTTCTCTTTTATCAAAAGGAAAATAAAAATAAATTTGTCGTGGACCTGTTGATTATTAAATATCTATTGATGGTATGGGCATAAATATGCATAAATAATAAGATAAGAAAAAATTATTTAAGATGATATTAGTATTTATTAAGGAGATCTCTAAATATAATAGTCATAAGAGATAAAATAATATTAGTGATATGTTTTTAAAAAATAATAAAAATTATAAATAAAGTTTATAAGTATTTTATGTTTAATTAGATATATAATTTTTTATAGATTGATAAAAGATTTACATAATCGATCTTAAATAATTGAGATTTATGATTTTATTATTATTGTTGACGATAATAAATTTGGATAAAAAAATCAAACGTTGGCTTATAATTCATTCATGATTGTATAACTCAAAGGTCTAGCATATATTCAATTTTCTAAAATTTTTATTAATCTGATTTGAGTTCTTAAAGATTAGCGTCCATTGGAGATGAAGAAATGGATTCGTGTTTATCTAATAATAAGTAACAAAAAAAAGGACATAATAAACATTTCCGCCAAATTTATTTAAAATGTAATGACGTCGGTCTTTTACCATGTGACATTTTCCATTGTCCAATGATTCAAATCCAACCATGTTAAGCGGGATCTTCATATCTTACGATTCGTGCTCTCACCCCTCGAATGGTTGTTCGATTCATATGATCATTGGGTGGAAGGATCGGGCGAAGCAAAGGAACCCTCGACGACATTCGACTACAGGGGATCTCTATGTAAGGAGCTCGAGGGCAATCCTCGGGTTATGTTTTATTCTTCGCTTTCTCTCAGCCATCCCTCTCTATATTAATTAAATTATTAATTTATTTATTTCTTAATAAATGATTTGATTTTTAGGAAATAAATAGTTTACATTCCATTTTTGTGTGTGAACTATAAGAAATGAATATTATATTTTTTTCTTTATGTATGAAAGTAAATTAAAAATAAAACTAAATTATCATTTACCTTTCGGGAAAATCTCATCTTCTTATATATAAAGGGGATTATTCCTTCCTTATTCCTCATCGAGCCTAATAATGGGAGAATTAAGGAGAGGACTTCCCGAGATAATATCGAGGAAAGGATAGCCGAAGAGAGGTATGATCCTTTCTTTTTTATGTTTTGAAATCTTAATGTTGATATTGTTATAATTTTATGATGCATAATGATGTTTTAATTTCGAAATTTCATGATTAGTAAATAATGATAATTGATTTGTGATGTTATAATGATTATTTGATTTATATTGATCTCTTAAGCTTAAGTGATTTTAATATTAATTTAATTATTAAAATTCTTATTTTTGAATTAGTATAATAGTTTTAATTTATTTAATTAGATATATCTATGTTTCAAGAATTATGTGTGAATTTCTATAATGTAATTAGTTTTAAATTTAAGATCATGAATTTACTTTTTTAATTAATTAATTTAAATTATTCTTTAATAATTTTAGATATTGAAATCTAATTTGATAAGAGGAGTCTAATCAGGGTCTGACTTGAGTCAAGTTGATCTATAAAACCGGATCGACTCAGCCCATGTGTTCATGTACGACCTAGCCCATGTAACTCGACATGACTCAACCTATGTGGTCATGTAGGAGTCAGCTCATATGGCAAGGTATGACCCAACCCATGTTGTTAGGTACGATCTAGTCCATATGGCCATGTATGACCTAGCTCATGTAGCCAAGCATGTGTTAGCTCATGCGGTTAGGTACAACCCAGTTTATGTGGTTAGGTATGATCCCAACTCATGTGTCTAGGTACAATCAACTCACGAGCCAAACATGACCTAGTTCAATAGTAAAGCTCAGCCCAACTTATAAGTGAGGCTTAGCCTAGTCTATGAAGTTAAATCTGCCCAACTATACGATTGATATTAGACACATCGTCGCTTCTCTATCTAGCCCGTTGTACCTTAACTCAACATATTACTTGTAACAGGCATGTGCAGCGTATGTGACCAATCCAAGACTTAAGTGGGTTGGTTCGATTTGGGCTAGCATTATATCACATAGTCTAATTTCCTCATCTTTTATTGGTTTAAGCTCGTTAATTGACTAAATCAAACATGTTTGATCAGTTAAATTCGGTTTAGGGTGATTCCATATTAACATGACTAATTCAACCTAGTTGACCTAATCGAAATCAATCAAATCTAAATTAGACTAGTGTAGGGTGATTCCAGACCAGTTTTATAAGGATTTGAGGTTGGTTTTGTTAGGTCATAATCTAATTAAGCTTGGTTTAAGTCAATTGAGCTATTCTAATTAGGGTTTTGATTGATTAAGGACTATTGAGAGATTGATGTTTCATGCATTTATAATTTGATGAACTTAAAAGTTTTATCAGAAGACATCATTTGAAAATGATTATTAATTTTTTACATTTCTTAAGTTTATGGTATTAATATGATTGTTATCATGTAGTAGATGTAACTAGGCTAATAGTTCACATTGGAAGTGCAACCTGTGAAAAGAGCTGTGGGCCTATTATAGTGAGGTGCCACCAATGAACGTAGTCTAGTATATTTATATCAAGTATGGTCTCTCATAATATTTAATCATATTGATTTCTTGATGCATCCGTGAGTGAATAGATAAGTATAAATGAATAATCATGAATGTTTATATATCCATGCTGATGGCAAGTATGACGATTCCCTTTGGGGATTAGTGGACCGTCAAACGTAATGGTTAGACGGTTCCTCTATCTGTTGTTGGGAGGAACATGTCTCCACTTGGGCGAGTGAGAGATACCACTCCATCCACTATTGGGAGTGCGATATGAATTATCTTCATCCATTGTTTGGAGGAATCCATCCCGTGGAATATGTCTCTCTATCCGTTATTAAGAGAGTGCACCATCGGGTGTGATGTACGCCTTTGTTATTTAGTTATTATGTATGTATTGCATATGGTTGATGCATGATTTTGTTTATTATGTAAGAAATTATTATATTTTTGTAATGTATAAGTTTTATGATGAATCAATATATTATCATTTCTTATTGAATTATTAATATTTATTTATATTACATGAATATTAAAGACCAATGATGCCTTATGGATTTTGAGTGTTGGGTAGTTAAGAAACTATATATATATATATATATATATATATATATATATATATATATATATATATATATATATATATATATATGATTTTCTATATGAGAATATTAAGAGGATATGTGAAGTTACTAAGAAAGAAAAAAAAATATTATTATTTGTGAATAATTAGATATCGCTTTGATAAAAAATAAGATAAGAAAAAAATCATATAAGATGATATGGACATATGTTAAGGAGACTTTCGAATGCAATAGTCGTTCACTAAATATCGCTTCAATGGAAAATAAGGTTAGAAAAAATCATTTAAGATCATTTGGTCATGTGTTTAAGAAATCTTCCGATAGAGTAAAATAATTATTGTTAATAATACGAGAATCGATAGTGAAAGACTAAACTGATTTTAATAAAAATTATAAATAAAAATTTACTTCGAATTTAACTAATCATATGATTTTTCACATGTCTCAACTAGCCAACCCAATATGATTTTTCACGTAGGCCTTACTTTACAACTTGTTTTCATTTTTTTTGTTCGAACCTGATAGAATCGTTTTTGGTATATTGCTTTACCATCAATTTTGTAGATAACAAATATGAAATTTATTTTCGAATATCAAGATACTTTAGGTTGAGTATTTTGTTCAATTTGAATGGTATACATCATTGCATAGTTTGGTGGCTACAAGTCTTAATATTTAGATACTATGCATACAATTTTATAGTTAAAATCTTTTCTGAAAAATATAAATAACAGCTGTAATGTAATTAGTAAATTTACTTAAACCTACTTGACCCTTGAAAGGGCTCCAGTCTGGGACGTGAGATGATGGGGTCCAACACGCCATCAATCCGACATGGCAGAAATTGCCATGTGGACCCCGCAGAAACGTCGGCAGCAGGGCCTGCAGATTGTGTTCGAGGGTGATTCGGCCGGCGCCAAAGCACAGGTGTCCTCGCGTCGCTGCGCTCGAGATCACGCTGCTGTCGGGCGTCGTAGACATCAGTCAATCCCCTTCGTACCCCACATCATAGGCCTCGTAGTCCCTCCGATCTCGGCCGTACACTAACGCCCCCATTTGTCACGCTAAAAGGATAATATAATTTAGACCCACAAAAATTCTTTTACCCTTTGTCCCTCGCACCCACGTCGCCAATCCAGCTCCTGATGTTGCAGACCAGTGGGGCCTCCAGTGTAAAAGAAGGGTAGGATCCGTGTGTGTATAGGTTTCTAGTACGTAGCGAAGGATTGTTTGTGGACGACACGTAAGCGATGCCGCGGACTCCTCCATGCGCAACAAACCGATTTGAATCCGCCGGACAGGTCCGTCACCCGACCAAACCTTTCGGCTCTTCCCCACCCCTTCATCAAACAGAGCTCGCGCATCTCGACCGCGGACGGTGACAAGCGGCGGCGATCTCTTCCCTTCGGTTTCGCATCGATTGATCACCTCGATCCATAACGGGTCGCTCCGCCGACACGTGGTTTCCGGCCCGAATTTTTTTGATAGTCTTAGGCTGGCATCTTTGGCGATTATGCTCGCGTTTGCGCTTCTTCTTTGATCCAGAGATCTGCCGGTGTGGTTCTCGGTTGAGTGAATTCTGTGAAATCTTGGCCCCCGGCATCTAGTTTTAGTTAATTGTGACGGCGGCTGCGGTTTTCTTGGTGCGTGGAGGGTCTTCGATCGATGGATTTCGTCGCGAGTTGTCGGGTATCTTCTCTTTCCTTTCATGCTTTCTGAATTTCGTTTCCTATTTACTACGTTATCATTAAACTATAAGTTGGGATTGAGATTTTATCGTGATGATTATTAGAGTTAGGTAGTAGAAGTATTGGGATTGAATTTGTCTTTTCCTGAGGAAAACTTTGGAGTTATGAACTGATATTGGTTACTTAATGTTCTTTTTGGCTAATTGAAATATTGCCTGAAGTGTCTTTTTGAATTTGCTGGTCCCTTTTGAGTGCTTCGACAGATGATCATTAGGTATCTTTTCTGTCCTTTATGTATTAGCCACTGAAATCACTCGAATAGTTCTAGCTGATTCAGATGATTAATTCTGTAAGCCAAACTAGAGTATGTTATCTTTTTTTTAGTCACCTTCAGTAGCAAAGTCGTCTGTGTTATTTTCTCTTGTGAGACAATCACCATATGTAAATCTTAGATGCTGCTTAATTACCAATTCCAACTTTTAAAGTGCGAAGCAATATTTCCATGATGCTTGCAACAGTATACTCTTGTCCGTTTGCCAGGGAATCTCATCACTATTTCAAATTTCTGAATCTTGTTAGTTTGCTAGTTAAATGGTTAAGTTACTGGATCATTTATTTATTATGTCGGTTCATGTACTTATCATTATAATACTTGCAACAAGCACTTGTTATTGACATTGTAGTTATGTTACAGGATGACAGCCCCTGTTATCCATTCTGCATTTGTTACTGGCTGTCACATAGTTGCCTGGGCTAGAGCCTAGGCAGTAGACAAGTCTCAGAACACATTAGATACACTGATCTGTCTTATGTATTAAAAACTATCTGTACATGCAATCAGACATAAGCATATTTGAGTATATGTTTCCATGTATGGATGTCGAATTGTAGATATTGTTACTTATCTCTTGAACTTAGATAAGTACGATGTATCCTATCCTTATATAGGTTGTAGATTAGTTGTATAACGTTCCTTTGAAAGTGTTTTCAAAATCAAATATATATTTTCTTTCTTTAAGAGTTAAAGATCTAGGAGTATGGTGCTGACTAGTTATCAGAATGTGTCATCCTAGAAAGATACTGGCACAAGCGACACTGACCTGCGACAGAGGTACAAACACATGGCTAGTGCAATTTTTGGTGTGTGTTAACAGATATAGGGGCTTGTTGACTGACAACATGGTAGTGGCACATCCTTGTGCCATGAGGCAATCATTGGTTATATAAGTTGAAACAAGTCCTTCATGGATAATTTTGTTATTTGGGTTAGGTCTATGTCTCTAAGTTACCAAATGTGAATTAGACTTGGCAAGTTGTTTGGTTTCTTTTAGAATATTTGGCATAGCATAATAGAAAAATCGTGTACGTCCAAAGCATTGTCAATTTGATTTTTCTTTTTTGACAATGTACATTAGACCTTTATTTCATCTTTATATATATGTATATATATATATATATATGTATATACGTATATATGTATGTATATATATATGTATATATATATATATATATGTTTGCCCAACAGTTATTTTTGTTACTTCTCATCTGATAGCCGATCCTTTGTTCTGCCAATTTGGCTACTGGAGGATGACCATTGTATTTGTTGGATGTAGTTCGGTTAATACTGATATAAGCTGGTTTGTTATTGAAACATTTTGGCCTGTGGTACCTACATGTTCATTTTCTTTGACAAAGTTAATAAGGTACAAAAGTTTTCATGATTGGAAGAAAGAGCAAAAAACAACAAAGTAAGTTTCTGTGGGCATGTGGATTGCAGAACATGCCCTGTTTAGTGGACACATTTCAATTATGTTATTGTTGTTTTTTTTTTCTAACTGTATTGTGTTCCTTACATCAGTAGGTTGTGTATGCATGGACATGGAGAACAGTATAAATTTGGGTCTTTTATGTTAAAACATGTTGATTATCTGCATAATTAATCCAATCTGTATTTCTTGCGGTAAAAGCTTTCTGTTTTATTGTTCATATTTGATTCTTCTGTCCTTTTACATCAGGATAAATTGGCAAACTTTAGAATAAAAGAGCTTAAAGATGTCTTGACTCAACTTGGTTTGGCAAAGCAAGGAAAGAAGCAGGTTAGGAGTCATTCTTCTTTGTTTCTTTTAGTTGTAGGGTACCATCTAGTTATTTTAGTCCAAATGTCATAAGCATGCAACTTGGCATTTTGTTGTGATAAGTGCCTCTTTAACAGCCACAAGAGATGGAGCTTTTCTGCCTGTTTATTAAGCTTTATTTTAGACTTGCATTTTCTAACTGTAGTCTATTTTCTTGTACCAACCATGTTAATACTATTGATTGTAAAATTCGACAATTCATTGTGAGCTGTATTACACTTCTCATTATAGGATACTCATTTTACAACTCAGATCCAGTAGTTACTTATTTTGTGTTCACTGATGCCAACATGCAGATCTTGATTATTATTAGCCAAATCACATTTTTCTTTTTGTTTATACTTTATAGTTTATATTATCTTCTACACATTGCTTTTGGTTCTTCTTTGATCTATTTTATAATAGCCTTTTTTTAATCGTATGTTATGCAGGATCTCATGGACAGGATTTTAGCACTGGTTTTAGATGAACAAGGTATTCGAATATTCAGAATTAGTGGCAGTTTTATTATACTTCATCTTGAGAAGTACCAACTGTAATGTGCATGTCATATTTCTTTCTTTGGAAATTAGACGTTCTATAGGAAATAAAACATAGAGATGATATCTCAGAATACTTCTTCTAGTTTTAGTTTATACATGTGGAGTTTTGTACATCCACAGAGTTACATAACTCGATTTTAATGAATTCTCTCATATAGTGACTTTGGTTGTAGTTTTCTTTATTTGTTCTATTTCATTAAATTTATTCCTAGTAAAATTTGTCATTCAATGGACATTTTTGTTCAGTCCCCAGTTATAAAATCTATTTCTTTTTTCAGGATCTTTTTTGTCAAACCATATTCTTCGCAATCAGAAAATTTTCTTCCTGACCATATTTTTGGACTTCTTTTTCTGCTTGTTGAGCTTGCTGTTTTTCATCCTTCTGTGGTATTGTTTAAAGATGGATAATTATGACCTTGTACTTTCATTCTTCCATCAGCATTGTATATTATCAGCTTTTCGATACATATTCCCCTCATCTCATTTTTCCTAAAGTTCTTTGCAGTTATGATTTATATAAGCTGCCTAAATATTGTCTTGTAAACTTATGTAATCGTGAGAATGCTGCCGGTTATTTTAATCCATCTTCATGCATCGCCAATCTGACTAGTTCTCATGTTTTCTTTTGTTTCAATCAATGATTGAAACATCGTACCGTACCAGAGTTTCGAAATTCGCCTCTCTTCTCCCCACGGCGACGTCGCCTTTATATATATATATATATATATATATATATTATTTTATTTATTTATTTATATATAAAAGTAAAAAAAATCTGCGACGTCGCCGAGATATATATACATATATATATTTATATGTATATATATAAATTAAAAAAACTGCTCGATAGCGAGCGGTCCGTGTACCGATCTGCTGACGGACCGGTACGAGCGGTATTATTCGAAATTGAAGACCTTGGTTTCAACATTCTACCAGTGATTAATGAGTATCTTATCTGTGTATTATTTGAATCTAATTGAATACATATATCATGTAAGTATATTGCCAAGTTATGTTCTCTAATCTTGTTTCATGGTTTTTACCAGCTTAGCCAATTTCTTTACATTGTTCTGTTTACTGTTGACATCTTTCCCCACCTCCACTCATATATGAGCTTCTCCCACCTTTCCTGCTCTAGATCCTCATTATGTTTGGCTTTATCTCTCTTATTTCACAGTACCTGAGCCACAAGTTTGGGGAAGGAGAAACTTTGTAGGGAAAGGAGGAGTAGCTAAAATAATTGATGATACTTATAGGTGATTATCACATTTACCCTCACCTATATTTCCTTATTGTTTTAAGTCAAATGCTTCTAACTCTAAATTATTACAGTGTGTTGTGCTTTGATATGTCCCTTGCAGGAAAATGCAAATTCCTGGTGCTACAGACTTAGCATCTAAAAGCTACAGTCGTACAGAATTCAATCACATGAAACCTAAGGAGGTTGATTCATATAAATCAGAAATGAAAATACGTTGCCCCTGTGGGAAATCATCTAATTCTGAGTCAATGATTCAGGTAGTTCTGCTGCTTCAGATTCGATGTTTCTAAAATAAACTTGAGGAGCACTGGATCTTGGTAACCAATAAAATAAGTTTCACATGGCATTATCCATGGATTTTTTGTTAGTGTTACAATCTTTATATCCATGTGGATTAGTGATCCATTTGGACTCTCTTATAGTATTTCTTTTCTTCTGGTTAGTCACTTCTAATATCACTAATTTCTGATCAACTCCAAAGTTATAACTAGAAACTGTGCCCTTTGGTACTTCAGCTTAAAGATTTTTTGACTGTCTTTTGCTGTTGTTACTCGCATATACAACCTGATAAGGAAAAGTAAAAAAAAGAAACTGTAGGAGTTCTTACCCTCTCAAACTTTTATTTCAGGGTAAATCTGAGTTTGATTCTCTTTATCATTTTTTGTTAGTCATAAAACAAGAGAATGCACAAAAACTGAAAGCAGAAAAGAAGTAAAATTTCCTAGAGAGTCCAACTTTAGATAGAAATAATTTTTCCTAGAATTTTCTAAGCACACATACTAACAGGTAAGCAACTTTCATAAGTCATACTGTTATAATAGAATTTGGAAAATGAAATTACTGACTCTACAGATGTCTTATCCAGCAATTATAAATAAGGACGAAAATTCATCCAAAGATGTCTTATCATCCTGTAGTCCTGGACTAAATAGGTCTGAAACTTGAGTCAACTATACTGCATCATTTTAGCTTCTTTTTCTAGAAGACTGGTGCATGGTCATCCTTGAATTCTTTTTCCAAACTTCTACTAGTGTTCCGCTTTTTTTTATCCTAGTATCATATTATCTTTTGTTTGTACAATTGTTTGCTAACTGATAGTGCTTTAGTTGCTTTATTTCCATCTCCTCATTTTACAAGAATTATACATTTTTTTTATTGCAGTGTGAAGATTCTGGGTGTCGAGTCTGGCAGCATATTGTTTGTGTAATTATACCTGAAAAATCTATGGAGGGTGCTTCTCCTGAAGTTCCGTCTCACTTCTATTGTGAAATTTGCAGAATCAACAGAGCAGACCCGTATGGCATATTCATCCCTGTTGTAGTTATTACTTATTAGAATGTTATAGTGGATTCTTACTTATATATTTGACCCTCCACAAAGGCTGTCATTATTCTGTTTCATTTCAACTTGATAATATTTGTGGGATTGCAGTCATCACAGAATGCCTTTTCGTTTGATCTTTTGCCAGATAATATCAGTTCATATATCATACAATTCATCATAAATTATCAAGATGCTGAAATTCATTCTGATTATTAGGTTTAGTTGCATTTAACATGAAGCTTGTTTGTAGGATTTGGGAAATGTATTGTCTTCCTATTTAGAGTCTGGAAATTCTTTACTTATTATTATGCTTGCATGATATACAATGCATGCCAAATTACTTTTCATTTGACTGGTAATATTTTTTAAAATATTTTTGTAAATGTATGCATCTCTTTTTATGATATCATGCCCTGAATACCTTGTCCCCCTCGTGATTATCTTGATGAATTAATGATTTCATACAATGGTATAGGATATTCATGACCATTTATTACTGCTGTTATTGGCTAGATATCTATAAGGTTTTGACAGGGTCATGACTTTATATTGTGGACACGTAATAAGAACTTTCTAAATGACTAATTCAATTCTTATATTTGTTATCTGGGTCCTGTATATAGGTTGACGAATTCAATTCTTTGTCTGTTTACTGCTGTTCTTCACTTTTGTATATAGAATCAGTTGATCATGATAGTGTTGATTATGACATGCAGATTCTGGGTGACGATGGGGCATCTATTGCATCCTGTAAAGTTTTTATCAGCAGGCATCACAGCTGATGGGTTAGTCCTCATCAAATCTTTCTAAGTTTGTCCATGGCTTGTTGAAGAATCTAAAAATGTTTGCTTCTTATGTTAATGTCAGTCAGTAGGGCAAACAAACATTTTGATGTTAGCTATAAAAAGTCTTAATGCTTGTTATTACTTGAATTTTGGAAGTTAGAACTGGCTCTACATTGAGTATTTCTACTTTTGTAGTCTAATTTGAACTATTTAAATCTGGTCGAATTACATGGATATGAATGACAGAGGCTTAGGGGAATGTATGTGGAGTTAATTGTATAATAGAAAATTCTGAAATTGATGATATGTCCGTTAATTGTATAACAGAGCCATAATCACTTCTTGAAGTTCCAGCTCCTCCATTGGAACAATCTTTTGTGAGTCCATATACACTCACATTCCATGTTCATATCTTACCACCTTGTTTCAGTTCTAGCCAAACACTTTTGGCTCACATTTCTCTGCCTGTTATTGTTTTTTTTTTTTTGTCTGCATTAAAATAAGGATACTGTATATTAAAAGATCTCTTGTTCTTTAATCTACTTCCCTTGAATGTTAGAATGCCAAGCATCTCGAGTTGGCTTGCAAGTATTGCGTGTGCTCCTTCATTAATAGTTTATGTACTGTCTTTCTTAATGCTTCTGTACGACTGTTTAATTTGGGGGATGTCTAATTGTTAGGAAGGGGTCGAAGGGAAATTCAGTTTTGATGGACTGGCTACTTGTGTTTGGTAACTTTGGTTCACATGAAATCTTTGCAGAACTATGGAACTGCAGCCCCAAATGGATTAGGATCGATTTAGACTTCCACACTTCCCTACATCTTGAACATCTTAAATATCTTGCTGCGTTAGGAATAAGAAATTTTAGATTATTTCTTGGGCATCTTAATTATCGCACATTTTATATTTGAAGTCACATTGAATTCAGTGATTTAAAAAGGCGCTCGCCGAGGCGCTCGGGCCTCGCTTCACTTCCAGGCGGAGCGTTTCAAAGAGGCGCCGTCTGGGCGCTCACCCGAGCCCAGGCGCTGGGCGCTTTGGGCGAGCGCCTGGGTTAAACCAGGTGATCGAACCAGGATTTTAGGTCTGGTTCGGTCTCCGGTGGTTAGTTGGTTCAATCGAACCAACTAAAATTAATATCAGCTGTCGTTGCCGAACCCTAACCCTGCTCATTGCCGCTGCCACTCCCGCTCCCGCTGCTCGCCGCTGTCGCTACTTGCAACTGCTGTCGCTGCTCACAACCGCTGCCGCTGTCGCCGCTCTTGCTCCCGCTGCCCACTGCTCGCCGTTACCGCTATCGCTACTAGCCGCTGTCGCTGTCGCCGCTGCCGCTGTCATTGCCTCCTTACACTCCTGCTCCCGCTCCCGCTGCCGCTGCCGCTGCCTCCTTACACTCCCGTTGCTGCTGCCTCCATACACTCCCGCTCCCGCTGCCGCTGCCTCCTTACACTATCGCTGCCGCTGCCGCTTCCTCTTTTCTCAGTCAGCACCCCCTTACACTCTTCCTTCTTCTCCGTCAGTATATTGTTAACAGTATACTGTATACTGTTAATATTGTTAGGTTTATTTGAAATTATTAATTTTCAATACTGTTAATAGATTAATAATATATTATTCTTAATTTAATATTATATTTTTATTTAAAATTTTAAATAATTATATTTATTAATTATATTATATATTTTTATATTTTAGCACCTCGCTTCGCTCGGGCGAGCGCCTGGGCAAGCGCCTAGCGCCTCGGGCGTTTTAGGACTTTAGCGCATTTTGGTACCTAACGCTTTTTAAATCACTGATTGAAATTGCACTTTAGAAAATGAGATGAATTCTAATAGTTTATACTTCAGAGAACTATAACAAAGATAAGAGTATGTAGGTATGGTGTTTCATAATAAGACTAACATTATGTGTGTCTGGTCAACAGAACTAAAGATATGAGAAGGCAAAACAAACCAATTAATTATGTACCGCATCAATGGGAAAAAGGTTGTAGAGTTTGTTGTGACTAATAATAGTGTGGATATTGTAACTTTCTGATTGCAAATATGAAACTAAGGAGTTATTTGGTGGATGGAAGAATGTAAGATTCGTTAGTGTCATTAAGAATTGTTTCTGTATCTTAGGATCCGTAGTTTTCTGTATGATATAAAATACTGCTTCAGTTTATACGTATTAATCCAACGAAGTGCTTATAATGGAACATAAGCACGTTTCCACCTGGGTGTACCGCTCGGTACACCGTACCATACCGGTACCGAGCCCAGGTCGAAATACCGGTACGGTATGGTATTGCGAACCTTACTTCATAGGATCTTATATGGACAATTTCTGAAGTTTTTTCACTATTTAATTGGTTGGTATTTGTGAACTGACTGCTTGTATAATCTGGCATTACTAATATCATATACTTACCATTTTTTTTATTTTTGCATGCTAATTTTATGGCGGCTATGTTTACATCTTTTCCAGCACAATCACAGTGCACAATGTGGAGAGAACATTTCAATTGTCAAGATCAGATAAGGAACTGTTAACGAGACCTGAATATGATCTTCAGGTTTGTTTCTAGTTTTCATATTTTGTTTAACTATGTTCACCTGGTGGCTGTCCTAATTATACATCCTTTTGGTAAAAGAGATGAACTTATGAGATAAGACTCATAAATTGCTTTCTTTAAGGTGTCAATCCTCTGCCATTGTTGCTTGCTGTAATTCTCCTATTTGACAATTAATTGTCTCAGGATCAAATAGTAAACCAGAATTTTGAGTTCATGAATCGAGCAAATAATTAATTAAACTGATAAACAATGAATTTACATTTTTTTTGTCCTGAAATGTTACCATAATCCATAGAATTGAACCTGCAAGAGGCTGTTGTGTTATGGTTATCAAGGAAAGACCATTCCTTTTATGAATTAATTTGTCGCCTTGTCCTCAGTGTGAAATTCTCTTTTTGTTTCATGATCCTTCTTAACTCTACTATATTTTTTTTTATTTTGAAGATTTTAGCATTAAGAAAAGCTAGTTGAAGTCTTAAAGTTATTCTCTTTAATTGCCTGAATTAACATGAAAACTTTGCAATTGTAAAATGAGGCTCTAGGTGACTATATTATGAGGGTTTTTTTTGTCATTTTATTCTTTTGTTCTTTGATTAATGGCTTTTAAAGTATTTTCATGATCATTCTAGATTCCAATACCAGAGAAGGACTTTGAAATGAAGACTAGTTTATTTTCTTGATCCTTCTTAACTCTACTATATAAGCAAAATCTGCTCGATTTCCTGATTGTCCTTTGTATTGCTACTCATGCAAAGTAATTAATTACCGAGCATATGTCATTGATGTCATGGCCCTGTGCAGGCCTGGTGTCTACTACTCAATGATAAGGTCCCATTTAGAATGCAATGGCCGCAGCATACAGAGTTGAAAGTCAATGGTATGGAAGAAAACTGTGCTTGTAACTATTGTGTTATTTGTCATTGATGTGTTTTCTGTTGATTTATTGAAATGGTGGTAGTTCTAAATGTAATTTTTACTTGCACACCCAGATATTATTGATGTTAATTATGTATATTAAAGGGCAGTCCCAATGCTCGAGGCTCCCGCTGATGTGGTAATTATGTATATCATTTCTTATATTTAAATTTTGACTCTTAACAATTAATTGCATAAGGCTTTCTTTACTAAATTCAGGTTTTTAAAGTTGAAATTGGAGGTATGATGCCAATGTCATTTGAGTGTTGCACTACCTTCCATTTTGCCCATTCCTTTTAGCAAGTAGTGAAACTAGTCATTGCATCACTTTTTAACCTTGTTTCTGGCGTTGCATATTGCCCATTCCTTTTAAAATTAAACCACCAAACCAAACTTCATTAGCTTCATTAATGGCAAGTTTGTCAAAATTGAATGTGAAATGTACAAAACCAAAAGGCCACAGTTGAGAAATATTATTCATAGGATTTTGATAGTTCAACTTATGTAATGTAGTAAGCGACCAAGCAGTTTCACACATACTGTGATCCAAAAGCGCAGACCTGCTAATCATAACCGAGACTGCATGAGCAAAAATGATCCTTTTCTTTTTCACAATAGTAGAATGTAATCTGCTAAAAGTTGATGTTAGAAATGGTACAGTAGAACTGTGTGACAAAGTTATCACCACTTTTATAGAGATTTGAGGATTGCTGGTGTACTTAAGCTTTAGAGAATTAGTTATATATGAATATCTTCCATTTGCTAACAGGTGTTTCAGTCACAGTGGTTGCTAGACCTGGCTCACAGTTGTTGGGTATCAATGGCCGAGATGATGGTCCAATGGTTAGTCCCCTTGTTTGATACACACTTACACAGTTCACTTCTGTTGTCATAGTCACATAATATTCTGTGCCTACTCTTTTTAGTGGCTTTGGATTTTTGTAATTTACTTGTACCTCCATTGTGATTGCTATTACTGAATATCTAATTATGAACCTAAGAGAACATAAGATAAATAAGCAGTCTAAATACAGTGCCATATGTCTCCTGGTTCTGTATTACTACAAACCTAATGTTTATTGTTTCTCTTCATTTTTTTTTAACTTGTTTATTTCATATTATTTGATTTATTTTCCCAGATCACCACATATAGCAAGGAAGGGATGAACAAAATTGTTTTATCAAGGTGCGATTCTCGTATATTCTGTTTTGGGATAAGACTTGCAAAGAGGCGGACAGTACCACAGGTAAACTAGCTATTTTTGTTTTATAAGTATAAACTAGCTATTTGTTGCTATATAAGGTAACAATTCTTTTTGCAGGAGTCAAACAGTTTATTGGTGATCACCCCTCTAATCACATGTTATATGAATTGTTACTACTTACTAGTGAACAAGACAATAGAAGAAAAGAGTTTCTCTTTTCTCACTTTTGTTTGTATACAGGATGAAGTACATATAGTCAAACAAAAGAAAAGAAAGGAAAGCGCTACCTAAATAAATTTAGGTGCTAATCTAGGAAATATACAACTAGCAAATGTACACAAATAAGGTAATACAACTAGGAGTGAATCAACAATCATATCTTAGTCTATCACTTCAAATAAGGTAGCATGTCAAGAATCAAATTGTAGCAGATCTTGACATATCAAATCATAGCAGATTTGATAGATCTCAGCACTCCCCCTCAAGCTGGTTCGAAGATATTTAACATCTCCAGCTTGCTATTTATGTGATCAAACTACTGTTTTTAAAGCCCCTTTGTGAAAATATATATTACTTGTTGCTTGGTAGGGACAAATGGAATACATAACAGTCCATCATCCAACTTCTCTTAAATAAAAAGTTGATCGGCCTTAATGTGCTTTATTCTATCATGATACACCGGGTTGTGAGAGATATTAATTGCTGCCTTATTATTTGAGTCAAGGTTTGTTGTACCAATGCGTATCACTCGGTACGGACAGTATGTACCGGTCCGACATGATATCGGTACACGGGCCACCCTCTATCGGGCGGTACTGGTCACTTGATCTCATATCGGGTGATACGGGGCTGGTGCTGGGCGGTAACGGTCGAACTTCGATTGTTACCGATCAAGGGCTGAAATTGCCCTATTTTAAACAGTCAATTTGACCCTACGATGATCGATCTTACAATACGAAGCAGCAAATCAGTAGCGAAAGTAGAAGTTCCGACATTCACTATGCTCCGCACCAAAATAGGCCTTGCAGATTATTATTGTAATCTGTGATGTTTGATGTACCTTGCTTTATTTTTTGAATTTGCCTTTTATTTTGAAAATCTAAGAAGTAAAACTTACTTTAGAGTAGGTTTTATTGACAACATCCCAAATATATCTAGCCATAGGAAGAAGATATATCTTGTTGATTTCTGGTTGCATAGAGTGAAGCAACCACAACATCACTGTCGCATTCTCGATCTCCCAAGTTTCGTATGAAGCATCTTCCAAGGCTTGTGCCTTTGCAGCCCCATTCACATATCTGAACTTTCCTTGTTAAAGAGATCTTCATGGTTTGAGATCACTCCATAAAATTTCTCCCGCTTAGTTTAACGGTAGAGATATGGATGGTAATTGGTATAACTCTCAAATTGAAGGGAAGATTGAGTGTGGGCAGGTTAGGTAGATTAGAAACAAACTTAGGAGTTTCAGACATGATTGGAAACAAGAAGAGTTACTAGAGAGAATTTTCAGCAATGAAGGCCGAGAGAAAGAAACTAATCTGTCATATACCATAGACGACAGAAAGAAAAACAGAACCTAACCTTGCTCTCATATCATGAACAAGACAATAGAAGAAGAGAGTTTCTCATTTCTCACTTTTGTTTGTATACAGGATGAAGTACATATAATCAAACAAGAGAAAAGCAAGAAAGGAAAGAGCTACCTAAATAAATCTAGGTGCCAATCTAGGAAATATACAACTAGCAAATGTTCACAAATAAGGTAATACACCTAGGAATGAATCAACAGTCATATCATAGTCTATCACTTAAAATAAGGTGGCATGTTAAGATTCAAAACAGATCTTGTCATATCAAATCAAATCACAGCAGACTTGATAGAACTCAACAACTAGTTGGTTTATCATTTTCTGATATTGGACTCAATATCTAGGTGACCCATTAGGAGAAAGGCAAACCCAAGATTATTTCCTCTTACCAGCATTGATTTGTAATTCTTTTCCATAACTGTCAGATTGAGTCACATTGCAGACCCAACATTGGCAGGAGCCTGATGCACTAGGTTGATATATTTTCTGTTTATCCCTTTATATTAACTATATTACATATGTCCAGGCATTTTTATCATGTGAAAAAGTATGGTGTGCTTATCATTTTGTCTACAGTGAAACTTGTGGGAACTTCTTTTGGATTTGTTTTGCAGATGCAACAGCCATCAGTCATATACTCCATGAATTAGATTCCAGCATATTAAATGATGTGAAAAGTACCGGTCTTCCAGAGTTAGAACCTTGGGGCTTGATTTTTGTAGGTCAAGATTTTGAAGGATTAATAGGGTTGGAATTGACAAGCAAGTATGAACTGCTAGGATCTTGAACTTGAACATCAATGGTATTCGGCAACTTTTTGAACTCATCTTGGTAAAGGCAGTGTTGTAATTATGTGTGTCAGTCATGAGAATATACCATGGATGAGGAAGATGTTGGTATGCATTGGTAATTTTCACTCAAAAGTTACATTCAGAAAATTACATATATGGAAAGACACAACTACACCTTTTGACTCATTTGGCATTTTTTGATTTTGAACAGTATAGATGATAATCAGAAATTTTCTTAAAGGAATATTTTTGCTTTTGGATATTACTTTTTCCTTCACAATGTGATTTTTCATGCAATTTATGGTTGTGAATGAGGAAATTTTATTAAATTTCTGAATGCCAGTTTCTTTTTTTATTATTTTTAGTTTTTGATGTTGAATCAGTTGTTCTTTCTTTAAAGCAAGTAGTTCTCATTTAGGTCCTTAGTTTGGTTCCCAAGGAAGAAGAAGGTGAGTGTTTCCAGGATGCTCTTGCTCGTGTTTGTCGCTGCATTGGTGGTGGAGCTGCTACTGAGAATGCGGACAGTGATAGCGATATAGAAGTGGTAGCTGATTCTGTCACAGTGAATCTTCGTTGTCCGGTAAGTGAAAGTGTACATTTTGGTGCAACCCTATCAGGTCAAACATGAACAGGAATCGTGGGACAGAAAACATGTTACTAGTCATATTCCTCTACCCAATATATGAAGTTTAAATCTGAAACAAAATTGAGTTTGAGGCTTGCCTATTTAAGAAGTAACAACAGAAAAGGATCATATAGACCAAGCAATCTAAGAGCTTTGTGATTTGTGTTAGAACTTAAACATCACAGGTCATGCATTGACAAGAACTAGTATTTGTAAATAGCCTTTTAAAACAAATATTTAGCACCCACAAAGATTATCTTTTCATGTTGACTCTAAAATTCATGTAATTTGGTCAACTTCGACATGGAAGTATGAAATTTTTGTCCTGCAGCTGGTTGGACATCATGAACTGAATAAGCTCAAGAAATAATTGATCCAAAGGTGGTTGTTGTTTGTGGCCATACCGGATTGCACAAATACAAATTTCAGCAGGCTGATTGTGTTCCTACATAATCAATGGTGTAGACATTGTTTTAATTGTAGTACAAGTTTGTATATAGAAGTTTGATCATTTGATGTCCCTGTACCTAATAGTGGTGCCAAATTTGTTGATTTTTAGGAATTCTGGTAGTTCAACTTTTGTTGCTTCATGACTATTAACATCCTTAGAAAGACAATGAGTTTCTTTTCTTTGCATATTTGCAGATGAGTGGGTCTCGGATAAGAATAGCAGGCAGGTTTAAGCCTTGTGTTCATATGGGCTGTTTTGATCTGGAAACATTTGTGGAGCTAAATCGACGTTCTCGGAAGGTTATGATTGTTCTTACTTCTTAGTGCCTTCTTTTTTTCTCTGTTCAGTTTTCCTTTTGTTGTTCAGACTCAGAAATTTTTGCTGTCATGCAGTGGCAATGTCCAATATGCCTTAAGAACTATTCACTTGAGAACATCATTGTTGATCCATATTTCAATCGCATCACTTCGATGGTAGGTTTTCCTGGATCTTTGTTTTGTTACATTTAGTTTACTCATTGTTTTCTTATTGAAGATCTATTTCTTTTCATTTTGCTGATAACAGTTGCAAAATTGTGGAGAAGATGTAACTGAGATTGATGTGAAGCCTGATGGTTCTTGGCGTGTAAAAAATGAACTAGAATCCACTGATCATTCTCGATCGCATTTGCCTGATGGTACCCTCTATGCTATTACAGATGCAGAAGTAAAACCTTACATGGGGAATCTGAGATATATGAAGCAGAAGAGCCCTTCAGAGAGGCACTTCAGTTTGAATTCAGGAATGAAGTCAAATCCAAAGCAAAGACCTAAAGATAAGAGGCTTCCATCTTTTGAGAGTCCTAGTCTTGGTAAGCTTGAAAATCTTTGTGAAGGCATAATAAATATGAGCAGTAGTGCGACTGGAAGTTACAGAGACGGGGAAGATCCAAGTGTAAATCAAGAGGTTGGGGGACCTTTTTATCTGTCATTGAACAATGGCCATGAGTCTGATTCTCTCTCTCTCAATCTTGATCCAACATACAGTATTGAGAATATAACTCCTGCACCCTTCGAAGATCCTAATGTGATTTTCTTGAGTGACTCTGATGATACACTGATTTCTCCTGAAACTGCATATGGCATTCATCCTTCTGGTAATAATACAATCCCTTTTCCCAACCATCCTGGGGTTTCAGAAAAATATTCTGAAAACAATGGGCCAGACACAAGTGGAACTTCATTCCTTGGATTATATAACAATACTGATGTATTTGAAACTTGGCCATTGCATGCATGCCCTCAGTCAGGTCCTGGCTTTCAACTTTTTGGAACAGAGGTCCCAGATGTTTTAGCCGATTCACATAGTTCCCTTGGGTGTGCACCAATTAGTGGCTATGGTTTGACAACTAATCATGGTGTAGAAGTTACTGCACAAATCCAAGATCTTTTTAAATGTCATTCTGGTACTGGAATGCTAGGAAGCTTAGGTGATAATCCCCTAGCAGTTGCAAATGATGACCCTTCTCTGCAAATTTTTCTTCCTAGTCAGCCAGTAGGAGTTGCCCTTCAAGATGACTTGATTAATGGCACTGATATAGGGAATGGGATCAATTCTGATGATTGGACATCTCTTAGACTTGCTGCTGGTGGAACTCATGGTGACTCTACCCCTTCAAATGGACTGACTTCGAGGCAACAGGTCACACCAAAGGAGACTCAGATGGACCTATTAAATGATGATGGTTTGTACCTTCCCATTACAACTGTTAATTATTTTCCTCTATAATACAAATCGCCATGGTTTCAAATATGGTCCGCTACCCGTAGATTATTTTCCTTTTTGTTTTGCGGATGATACCAGGTGGCAGGTCAGAATACATCCGGAAATATTCCGGTACCATACCAGTCCAATAGATTTACCGAAACTGGTGTTGGATTGAGCTTTAGATTTTTGTATGACAATGACTACACTATGGGCACAAAAATATCTACCATTCTGCCATATAGAGTTTTCATGCTATTGTTATATACTGCTTTTAAAAAAACATTACAAAATCTCTACATGTGATTATGCTAAAAGCTCAGTGTATAAAAATGTGTACTTATTCAATATGACACGAAAAAAGAAAAATAGTTGATTTCCTTGGAGGAGTATGAAGACTTTTTAACATTTGGCATAGTGAATAATTGAATTAACACTAGTGATTTTGCAGCTGTCCATTCAGAATGTTCTAAAGTTCCTGTTGGCAAATAAAATAAGCAGCTCATATTTTGATGCATTTTGTTTTCCATAAATGTTGTACCTTCATGGTATTGCCCAGATTTTTTGATGCAGATCTTGTTTTGACTGTAAATTTGTGTCCTCGTTTTGTGTATGCAGCTTCTTTACTGTTGAGTATGAACAGCAACAAAGCCAATAAAGCAAATTTTAAAACTCAGAAGTCCGATAGTTCTCCTGGACAACCACGGTCTATTAGGCCTCGGTTATATCTGTAGATACTGATTCCTATTGTTGATCATGTGGGGATTCAGATTAAGATGGAAACTAAAAGGTTGCTGCATGCCTGATACTGCTGTTCTACTCTGATGTTATGTGGGGAAAAAGGAGGCCAAACAATCTTTATACTGACATGAAAGAGAAGTTACAATTCATGATCACAGCAGCAAGTTTCTTAGCTACGACTGCTGGAACTATCAACTAAAGGGAAATATCAAACATCTTGTTTGGTGGCAGATGGTGAGCTAATTTTAGTTTGGGCTGTTCATTACTTCGTGGAAGATTTCCTCTCATTAGCTTCCGCCTGCAATCGACTGAAGACACCCATTGCGTGGCTGCCACACCAGTTTGTTAACTATAAGATTCTATAGGCAGAGAGGGATGGGTTCCTTACACGTAAGCCAAATAGGTGGGCAGCTGATGTATTATAATTGTATGATTTGATCGGTGTAAATTCATGTGCCTATCCAATTCTGGTTGCAGTGAAGAGAAAGTATTGCTTATAAATAACTTGCCACGAATGCTTTCAAGTTACAAAAATTCCATTATTTGATGATGATTGGTGTTCCTGCAGGGATATTGGTTTATGTTTTAATGCTTTCTGGAATTTCGTGTGCTTTTTCTGCTTCTAATCAACCTCCTTCATGCTGAGAAGGTACATGCCACATCAGGTATGTGAATTTTCCCGTAAAATTCTCATTAATCCAATTATTCTCTTGCTTGTTATCACAACAGATTTGTTTCTGTATAATTTTATATCATACCGACGTATTGATTTTTGTTTAGTACAATATGGT